AATACTGCACATGTGATTCAGAACAGATTTAGTTCTTCTGGTGACAGCAATGCTCAAGGCTTGTAAGAGAATTTCCACGGTGTAAATGCCTTAAATAATAGAAACAAATGCATTTAACTTGTCTACTAGTCAGCAGTCAGCATTTCTCAAAATGTAAAGATTTTAAATAGAATTCCATTGTGTCAGACTTTAGAGTATCACTGATCAAAAATGCCATTTTAAATGGGCCATATCCAAAATTTTCTTGTTTTTTTATTGTAATCGTGTTGTTTTTTTATGACATCACAAAAACAATCAATTCAAAATTATCGCCTACACTTCCATCAAACTCTTATTTCTAACAGGAGGGAGGGAGGGAAGAAGTAAGTAAGAAAGAAAGGAAGGAAGGAAGGAATGAATTGTGTTTATTCCATGACATGGCATGACATGTCCTTTAAGGAAATACTAGCAATGGATTTTGGCTCATGGCTAGATGTTTTATCACTTCATTTGTCAAACTCTGAAGTAAAAATAAAATCTATGCCTTTAACTGTTGTACTACTTTACACACAGAATAGGCATTTTGAGTTATTTGGTTTTAAAAAAACAAAATTTTCCTCCCTTTTCTGAAACAGAGTTTGATGTAGCATATAAGAATTGTTTCAAAATGTACCATTCACTCCCCACTCCATACAGTCCATACATGGCTGTACTGAATGCACTGTTTTGTCACTAAAACCTGTACATTACATACAGTATATCTGCCTATGTCTGTCATAAGGAATGTTTCAGCCTGGACTGATTTTTGAATGAGGCACAACACGGGGCAGCTAATCAGAACTTAGTTAATTTACATATATCAGTCTTAAAGGTACAGTAACAAAAACAGTGTTTGATTCTAAGGGATAAAAAGAGGTTAGAATATGGTAACATAGAAAGAATTATGACTACTTTTGGTACATAAAACAACATAAATGTTACAGGTGGACTTCAGGAAGGGGATTCCATCTGAACACAAAACGTTATCAGGCCAAGATCATACAGACTCCATTCTAACATGCAGAGCTTATTCACTGCCTGAGACAAAATCTCCATAATCCATAATCAGCACAAAAACTGCAACATCAAGCAACTTTGAGTACAGCTCCAAGGGAAAAGAAGGGCTAAAGGTTCAGATATTGGATCAGAATATGCTTCTGTAAAAGATGATAATGTATTTATCAGTTCCAGCAGGAACACAAAATCATTTTCCTGTTGGTTAAAGATTAATAAACCCTGGCAAATGAGGGCCAGATGGAGATGCAGTACTTATGGCACTGCCAAGGCTGACAACTCAACCCAGCCACAACAGACATTAAGCAGAGTTAAGGTCAAGCTCAGTGTCCCCACATCTACACTGCCAACTCTGTGCACAGAACACAGCACTAGTCTAATTCTCTGCTAAAGCACAGCCAATGCCCACAGCCTTTCCAGGCAATCCAAACATTTCTAAAGCCGGAGGGCCAGCAGCTGCCAAGCAGAGAGAGCTATCCTCCAGCCTTGTTTGGTATTTAAGACGGTGGAACCAATTCCTACGCACACACGAGTGATTTCCCCCTCCTTCCTAAAGGGCTTTTGGAACGAAACCCTCTAAGCACTGAAGTGAAGGGGGTTAGGAAATCATGAGGGAGCAATACTTTAAAAAAAGGAGAAAACATTCAGTTTGTTATCTATAGCTTATCCCACGTATGCAGTCCATAGATCGAACTGGGTTCTGTGCTTGGCTGAATTTGATCTACCGCATTTGCGCTTTGCTGGAACAGAAAGTTTTCATGTTAAGTACTGTTTGGTCTAAACAGCACAAAACTAAATCTGACTTCAACGTTACACATGATGTTGCATCAACAACTCAACAATGCAAGTTTCTTAAATAGAATGTGCTTTTACAGCATGTGACCTAAATAAGTCATTACAAGCTGAAATAATAGTTTTGTATACCACTACTTCACTCCTTCAGACAGTTTAGGCCATCACAACAACGCAAGTGTGGACTTATGCTTGTGCCAGCAGTCTAGTATCAGTAACGCCACAAATACAATGATGGACAGCTAGCTCAGAGGTCAATCAGTATTCAGAGTTGGTTCGGAGAATGGAAACAGGAGCTTGCATTGTCACTATTTCTGATTTGAAAGACAACTCCTCATTGACAGGCCTTGAAAAGAGTCCGCACACTTTAGCCAAGGAGTATTCATGAAGCCGTGCACTATGACAATGTCACAGGAGGAGGAATTCCCACACCGCGGCCGTTCAGCTTAGGGAATATCGTGGTACACTTTGCCACTTCTGTCACAAGCAAGCACTGGCAAGGATTCTCTATGTCTCAGATGTTTATTTCTGTGCACCTCTCTGTCCTACAGGCTGCCACTGTTTCTCACTGTTAGCGCTCTTTCTCAAAAACATCTTTTCTTTTAGGGCCAGACTCATATATCAATTGACCAGGAATACAGAAGGATGCAGGGATTCCAGGGATGTACCAGCATTATCAGGAATCCTGCTAAAAAAATCAGATGTCTCTTAAATATATAAAATATAAAAAAAAAATTATTCACCGATGTGATGTTATCTTGAATAATTCTCAGTAACCTGTTTTATAGGGTACATTTTAATGCTGAATTATGTGCTTATTTATAAGTGGCTTGTTTTATATTTACATTTTACAGATTTTATGTGCGTTTAGGAAACTGGACAATTGAAAATGAACATGATATTTGACAAGTGACAAACATATCCAGGGCTCTATGTAACCTTTTTGAGCAGGTAGCACTGATGCTAGAAAAGTTCCAAGTGTTATAGCAAAAATTACAACATTGTATCCCGAACGCAAAGCACCACTTTCATGAAGTTAGGAGTCATACTTTGGTTTTTAACTGGTTGCAACTCTTGAGAAAACGCTGGTGCATTTTTGGAAGTGGACTGTTCTCAATATGGCCAATAAATACAGCCCTGATATTAGTCAGTAAAGAAATGTTTCTCTACAACTATAACACCGGCTAATATAAAATTCTTTATCTCCTCAAATTTGATACTAGTGACAAAACTGTCACATTGGTCAAGTCTTGTCCTCAAACATCAACGTTTCCAGTCCATTATCTTTCTTCCAATTCTTGTAGTGCTAGACTGAAATTGTTCTCATCTTCGCCTTTAATAGCTGTTCCAACCTTTTAACCCTACACAGGTCATAAACCAGTCTCAGGACCCTTTCAAAAAGGAAGAGGGATCAGCAGAGCTGTGCTGGACCTCAGACAGGCATGCGGCACTCTGATCCTCGACATCGGAGCCTCAGCTGTGGAGGGGGGAGAGGCGACAAGCCGGGAGAGGATGGAGAGTGAGATCATAGGGTTTCACCTTCATCCCCGAACATTACTAATTAGAGGGTGCAGGAATGCCCGCTACGCCACCGAGAGTTTTCAGGCCCAGTGATATTTCGGAGCTACAGAGCTCTGTGTCAGGGCAGGTTACCATGCAAGCTCTGATAATCATGCTTGGTGTTAGCACTGGCCTCGGGGAGATCTATATCTACTTTAGCTCTGGCTTTCCTATCATAACTGGAACTATAAGAGAATGGCTATGGCCTATGGCAGCAGTCCACATTATGTTTTCACAGAGGGCACAAACTCAGCCTCAACCTTCTCCTCATCTGGTGGGCAAGGGCCTTTTTGTCATTAATTGATATTGTGTTTAATAAAGGGCTGAACAATTTGGGGTGAATATGTAATTGTTATTTTTCTGACCAATACTGTGACTGTGATTTAAAGGCCTTTTTTTTGCCAAGAAGACCAGCATGTCCATTTCTTTAAAACGATTAATTGTTCAGCCCTAGTTTATTAGCCCATTATCTATTATTTAAACGTGCATTTTTAATGTGTCTGCTGCTTTGCCACTCATAAACGGCAGGTGTTTTCAGACATATTCCATTGCGTTTTTATGAGCGTACACTGCTAATGTATATAACCCCACACTGTCAATGTTTTTTATCTGATAAAAAGAAACAGTGCAAAAAACTTCTATATTATGGCTGGCCTAATGGTTCCTTTTACTTACTACTATCTACTATAGACTGAGGCTACTATAACTTGGCTAACTAATGTTACAGCTTCAGCCTCAAAGCTCAAGAACACTATACATACAAGAGCAAGTTTTGGTTCCACAATGTGTTTTAAAATTTGAAATATTAGTTGAATATGTGCATAAAAAAGGAATAATAATTCATTCTTAACCAGCTTCTGTGGACATGTGGCAGGCAGCAACATATCCATGTAGTTCTAGACCACTAGAACATGCCCTCTAGATTCAAATTAGGCCCTGACTGATATATTGCCTGGACAATAATATCACTGATATTTAGGTCTGAGTTTGCAGCATCACTGCAGAAAACCACAGAAAAGCTTAATATGGGTTTCTGTTGTTTATTTAAGTTTTGAATAACAACAAATAAGAATTGACAAATATTTCTGCCAGTAAAGCATTGTTTGCCTAAAACTATGACAGCATGAAATTTGAATAATAATGTAAATATAAAGTTATACTGGCCAACATTACCGGTTATCCCCCACTAAAATTGGTAAAATTTTCATATTAGTTCAGCCTTAATTCAAATGTATGCTTGTAAAATTATTCCTTTACCAAATGTTCCCTCAAAATCCGTCTTTAAAATAGGTGAAAATGAGCTAATGGGCAGGATAGAAGGGAAGGAGTCTCAAACGTTCTTCAGTAAAGCACATATTACGCAACAGTGAAACCTAAAGCTTCACAGACACTTCCACCGATTAAGGTACAACATAACTGTAAGATGAAGCAATTTCTCATTAAATAATCCTCCAGCACCCAGAGCTCTTAACCTCCAGGTGAGTGTGTGAAATCAGACAGTGTGGGCAGGCAGGTTTTTGTGGAGAGTGTTTTGACGTCTGAGATGGAACGATTTCAGAATATAGAGATCCATTAGAAACGTAAGAACTGGTGTATGACTGAAGGAGGGCAATTACCTGTTCCTTTGTTCCGGTCCACAAAGCAGTACTTGAGCTCATACTCCCGCAGAATTTCATGGACCTCCTGGGGGAATAGATGGGTGGGAGAGAGATAGAGAGAAAGAGAGAGAGAGACAGAGAGAGAGATGTGTTAAAGTAAATCTCTTGACACAGTACAACAGCAGGAACTGAGATATAAAAATATATCCCTCAAAATAGGTTCATGGAGAGTTTTCAAAAGACAAAATAAAAACTGGGTTATAATTTCACATACAACGTATCATGTAGCATACGCACAGCTGAATATTTATTTGGTTATCAGGGTGTGTATATATGGGTGATAACTGCTGAGGATTATACATAACATGAGTGTTAATTTTCTATGTGTTCTGTTATTACACAGACCTACGCACGGTCTATAGGCAATGGGGATTATAAAATGCTATTCCTATACTGCATATGTAACCTTTAGGTGATTATACTGGTAAGGATTAAAAGGGGACCTTCAATGTAATGAGGGGGTTTCCGGTACAGCATTAAAACAAACTTGACAAACCTTCTGCCTTAAATACACAAAACAGTGGGTTTATCTTTTAGAACTGTTGTAAATCTACACAGTGAAGTCCCTAATGTTTTGCCATTTAAAATGCAGACTCACAAAAGCATGAAACTTAAGTATGACACAGTATGAAAGACGACTCAGCTTTCACAGCAGCTGACGTGTCATGTTTAGTGCAAGTGTGTATATGTGTGTGCAAGTGTGTGTCTGCGTGTCTGGGTAGGGGGTGATGAGAGTTTGGCAAATATGTAAAGGGCATACTTAACCTTCGATGCTCTTTTAACATGCACTGAAATCATGGTGCAATAAAACCTTCAGTCGTAACTAGGAAGCAGTTGATCCAAGATTTTGGTCACTTTGCCAGTAGCTTGTATTGCTGTGCAATGAAAAAAACACCAGTGAGCGACCTGCTCATGGTTTCACACTCTTATACCACTCTTCAATAGGGCCCAAGTGGTATGAAAACACTGTGGTTGATATTGATTTTAAGAGGCTTCAACAGATAATTTAGGATTTACATTTTGGATTTTAATTTTGTACTCCAACAGTTTTAGACAAACAGCGCTTTACTGACAGATGTAATTGTCAATTCTTAATTTTCACACTTCTTCAACTGTAATAAACAGGAGAGATTCACTCAGACTCAGAAAACGCTATGAGGGCAGAGCTACCCAAAATTCTTTGCGGTTTTGGTTTCTGGTAATCACCTCTCATTTTTCATCAGTTCTCTTCAAGGAAAAAAAACTTTTAGTTAGAGGTGGTCGATATGACAGAAATATCACACCACAACACTCATTTTCACAATACATGACACGTATCACAATATTTCAACACACAGACACAACGTACTAGTAATGCCACATTTGAAAACTGCCATCAAAACCTCTGGGTAAAGTTTTCAATGATTTTGTTCAGGATTTCACTGTACTGCACTAAATCAATTTAAACAGGACTAATTACACTCGCTTTGCAGTGAAACACGCTGTTCGTCTGTGTTTTTTTAAGTACAGATATCCACAACATGCTCATGTTCATCACAATAACAAAATGTATTAGGAGAACGATAAAATACCATCATATATCTCTACTTTTAGTGTTATAACTTTCTGTTGCCATGGTATTAAAAGGTTTTGTCATTCCAACCACTTGTTTGACTTGTTTAGCCTGTATTGCTGTTATATAGTTAAACAGGGGGTGCCTCCTGTTGGGTTCAAATCCTGGTGTAGCCACAAGCAAAAAAGTTGGTAACTACCCATGCAATATCTGTGATATTTCTGTTAATATCAGTTGGGCTCTAGTCCTTTCAGAGAGAGAGAGACTAAACTGGTAAATCTGAACACAAAACAGCATCACGGTTAAAAGAACAAAAACATAAGGACTCAAAAAACCTTAATGAGAAGAGAAACTGATGAAAAATAAGAAAATTAAGAGCTAATTACCTGGAAAAAACAACAAAAAAACACTACTAAGAACTGACAATCATATCTGTCAACTGACAATCACAGCGGTCAGTCAATTTTCAGTCCCATATAAAATGCAGCGATTATAGGCTCATTTTTAGCTCCTTAAAATATGTATCAGTGACAAAATTCTCATATCAGTTGGGCCCTGCTTCACAGTGACAGTACTCACAGTTACTCTTCATCATGATAACTGCAGAATCATGAAGAAGTGATATTAAAAAAGAATACCTGTCATCACACCGTGTAAGTATGTAAATCAGGCCTCCTGCTGTAACCAAACTCCATCAAACACAGAGTCCACTGTGAGCTACTGATCTTTATCACTCATACACACGCAAGCCCTCACACACGCACACACAAATCTCTCCCTCCTGCCTTTTAAGCACACACACCAGGCACTGCTGTCACATATACTGTGTTGTTGTCTGTGTGAGAGATAAAACAGAGGAGCCTTGAACGAATCTGCAGATTGTAGTAGACCAGGAGCAACTATCCTGAGTATCAGCCTACTGGCTGTAAAAGTGCTCCTACCCAGTGACCAACTTCAATTTAACTTTTAACACGGTTATACATAATCAGGAGAGTTACAGTGGCTAGACGTTCTGCTGTTGAGTTTTGGTGGATTATCTATTGTGCACCGCAGGTTTTCATTCTGCAGGTAACTAATTTGATTTCAACACAATTTGTTTCGATACAGGTGCAGAAAATACATGAGATTCAGAGAACACAGAACAAACAGGACATATAACAGTCCAGTGCTTGAAAACATACAACACAGCAAAGTGCAAACAGAAGAAGAAAAACATTGGTAGGTGTCTGTTTAGTGTGACACCATAAAATGGAAAATGTAATGTTAGCAAAGGTGGCAAGTCATTGCGCTGCAAGTAAAAAGTAATTCTCAGGTCAAGACAGGCAAGTCTGAGTCAAATCTCTAGTCGAGACAAGCAATCCCAAAACAAGTCCCAAGTTAATACAGTCTAAAATCCTGACATTCAAGTCCTAAACAAGTCTAAATGCATTTTCACTGAAGTTAATGGTAGTACGAGTAATATATTAAATTGAAGTAAAACACTACACTGACGATAATACATAAAATTGACATGAATGCTAAATTTGTATTTATTACCCTATTATTTTTTCTTCTACTAATTTTCCTGTCCCTACTTAGCTGCAGAATTTTGCTGGTTGCTGGGTAATATGGATAAACAGAGCTGACTTGCAGCTTGGTTTGCTAGCATTACCCAGTGTTACCCATCCTGCCAAGCAATAAAAACCAAAGGTCAGTTATGTGATTTTATTTTAGTAGTTGAAAATATATCAGTATGCTGAAATTACTGCATGTTTTTGCATGAATCATGTTTCATATTCAATCTCATCTTACTCTGCTTACTTAATTATGGATTTCGATGAGGACTATGTTATAAAAATTAAATAAACAGAGCATTAGGTTATATGTCAAGCTTAAAAGGCCTTGTTTAAGCTATATATAAAAACATGGAGAGCATTAAACCCATTGTGGAAAATGTGAATGTACAGTACGGTTAGCTTGGCACTAACATAACATTGAAAATTCCTTATAAGCACTAGTAAATAATTATATGACAACAAAAAAATGAAAAAGCTAATGAACTTACTGACATATCCAACGCTTTATTTTATGCTGGTATAAGTAGAGCTAAGTTCTGGAGATGTCTTCCAAATTTTTTCTTCTGTGGGGTTTTGTGGGAGGTCTTAAGTCTTTTTTGAGTCAGAAGGTCATGAATGAGTCATTAGTATTAAACTCAATGTCGAGATGCAAGTATTTTTGATTTTATCAGCTGTGGACTTCAGTCATCAAAATCCAAAGATCAGTGAAGTCATGTGACTTAAGTCCCCACTTCTGGATGTTGTCGAATAAAATGACTAAACAATGAACTAGTTCAGGGGTTCTTAACCTGAGGATCGTGACCCCCTTTGGGGGTCCCAGCGTGGTTCCAGGGGTAAAATATTTTTAACCCTAAAAATGGGGCGCACTCTGAAAAAGGTTAAGAACCCACGAACTAGATCAATTGAATAACTTTAGCAAATTCCAGAATGAAGCTGCTGTTTTTCCATCCATACAACCAGAAGAACTATGCATCCTGTATGGACTGCTAACTTAGCTTTCTCTCTTATATACATCTACGAACACACTTCTACACAGATTAAGTGTGCAATGCATACAAATACCTAAACAAGACATCAGCTGCACAGAGAGAAAAACTCAAAAACAAACTTTTCCAAGGCAGCAGCAAAACTGGCTTTGGGGAAAAGTACAGCTTCAATTACAAATCCTCTCAGCTTAAAGAGATAGTTTGGGGGTGGGAGGAAATTTACCCATATTTTCCTCTGACCCCAAATGTAGCAGACCAGCCAGATATGCTTATGTGGTTTCTGGCACTGGATGATGGCCTGTCATCTAAGGACACAAGTATGGACAAAATTCAGTCTTCAAGATGACTGTTACTACTGTTTTTAGCAACGTGGTGTATGTTTGTTTAGTTTTATAGATAACAATATGTCATACAGTGTCAGAAACCACAGGAGCAAGTATATCTGTGATTACTTAACAACTCAACACAGTTTAAAGCAAACGTGTGGTGATTTATGCATGTAGCTTCCATGATGCCATCTGGAGGGGGTATTATCTTCCATTACTTTAGCTACATGAGATTCATAGCTCCAGTGCAAAGCTAAAGAAGAAAATTTCAGAGACCAAACATGTCTTGACTCATTCGATATATTTGGGGTAAGGGTAAAATTATATAAATTTGACATTCGTCAAACTATTCCTTGAAAAAACCACTGCACAATTTGATCTAGTCTTTGCTGACAACAAAATCCTTGGTCCTTTGTCACAAACACTTAGTAAAATCCACTGAGAACAGTTCTCTAATGTGTGGAGAGTCATGCAGTGCATTAGAACACATGCACACTCTCTTTCCACCAATCAAACACAGCCCATAAACATGTGAAACTCAATACTCAACTCTTAACCCTCAATCCAGCCGGTTAAATGCATAAATTCATTTTTGCCCCATCACA